CCTACCCGCCTGCCCTCGTCATCGCTGTCCACGCCGTTCGCCTTCGCGATTTCCATCACGTTGAACTTTAACTTGTCGTAGTAGCCTGTCACGACGCTGATGCCAGCAACGCTCTATTGAACGCCACAGGGATGAGTGCAGTTCGGATACATTGCAAGTTGACTGATCTGCGTACCTTGAACACCTCCACGAGGATAAATGCCTCGGCTCCCTCCAGGTCCACCGTCCAGCCGTCTGGCACACAGCTGACGACGGTATCGATGATCGTCTGCCTTGACAGCGTGTTGTGACTGCGAAGTCGCAGCTCGATCTTGTACTGTGCACCATCAGCATCTGTCTTCCTCGTGGCGAGGCTAGGAGATATCGTACTTTGTATGCTCGTTCGGGATTACTCTCGAAGAAGTGCTTGAGCGCGCGTTGTGCCAAGGACTTGATCTCAGGTTCGTTTGCGGCCACGGTTTGGATGACCGGCGTGAGACGCTGCGTGTATCTAGGATGCGCTCAATCAGCATGTGTAGCGCTAGAATATGCGGAAGTGGATAGCGAACCTTGTATGGGTCACGCCTGTGTCCTCGACGTTTTGTACGTGCCGCAGAACCAGCTTTACCGGATCGATAGGCGGTTTACATGAGATGAAGACCACTGAGACGGAATATGAGCCACACGTCTCGAAATGCGAGATGGAAGCTCTTGCCGCAGGTCGTGTTGGTCTGGCAGTTAACTGTCCCTCGTGAGTCGGCGCGAGGTCGACGACGGTCAAGCGGACATACCGAACCTTTGCTCTCTTCGCGGCTTCTTCATAGCCGACCTCTCCTTCGCGATCTGTTTCTCCAAATCCTCTTCGAGGTCCGCGTCTTCGTCGGCAGCATCCGCATCCGGTGCGTCAAGTTCAGGCCAGATCTCGGACGCGACCTGGCATCTCGAGATGAGACGCGTTCGCAGAGAGCAGAAGTGATGGCTACCTTCTCAAACAGGTCATACAGTTCACCGACAGCCTGTTTCTCTTTACCCTTCACACAAGTAACCCATATGCCGGGCCCGTCAATGACGCGTTTGGCCCAAGTCGGCGTGCCGTCCTGTTCTCGCAGATCTTAACGCTAAAGCTCTAACCAAGAGCTTCAACTGGAAACGCGCATACTGATCGGTACTTTTTCTTGATGCCCTGCTCCTTGTTTCGGTCAAAGGTACGTTTATTCGGTTTGGAGGCGGACATGCTGATGGTGGTGGCGGAGAAGACGAAGGGCGAGACGCGCTTCGGCAAGTTGCGCCGAACGGCATCCTGCGCCACTGCGCGCAGCACCTGACCACTCTTGCGCCCGTCCCACCATCAAGTTCGATGAGGGTGACGGCGTACACCGAGACACAGAGAAGCTCTACAGGAATGAACGAGAAACTGTTCTGGCTACAACCGATAAACTAAGGGCGGCTTTGGGCTTTGACGCCGGCCTCCGGAAAGACCTTCGAAAGGCATTAGTCATGTACTACGTTTGGGTACCCATCTTCCTCACCGCCATAGGGAGGTCTGGAGTCCCGCAGGCACCGGTACAACGCATCATCTTCTAGGCTATCGGTAGCTGGTGCACCTCCTCGTCCTGCACTTGCCTTCCATGAACACCAAGTTCTACGAGCGAAGCGGCGAACGACCGCGTTCGTCGTATCAAGAACCAAAGACTTGTGTAGTACAGTGTAACGCCTTCTTTGCTCGGGCGTCTCGGGGACGCACCCAACAATCTAGTCCGCAGATAAGCGAGTAGGGCGACGGATAAGTAGAGCATATAGGTGGCGACCCGGCTTTGGACAGCACGCGCTATCCTCCGATTTCCAGGTACCATACAAAGATCATCATTACTCTACAATACGCAAGCTTTGCCCACTCAAGCATGAACTGTACTTGCGCCGTCCGCCCGAGCCAATGACTTGGGCTGCGCGGTTCGTCCAGAAGCCTCTCCGAACTCCCACCTACACAACCTTCTGGTGTATCGGAACCATCGCGCTCACTCGATGCCCGTGCTCTCCCACCGCCGATAAGTGCTGACGCCTATGCCTTTAGATAGACCGGCCTCGCTATCTTCTTGGCCAGGAGGCTTTCATTTGGAACTACGGTATCGAAGGTACAGGCAGCTGAACATAGCACAAACTCGTAGCCCGTTCTATTCATCAACGCGACTCCCATCCGCGAGGCCTTCCAAGCCCTACATGTGCCGTCCCTCGTCTACACTAGGTGTGGAAATCCCTTTTGCCGTGATGCCGACTTCGTGCGTACCTGTGTCTGTATATGCAGATCCTCAGCTGAGCTACGGTGCCTTACTTGTCATTATAGGAGCGCGTGTGAGGCCGAAGCTGAGCCCGCTATATGGATGTGGCACCTCTAATCTTGGACGCGGATCAGGAGGCTGAGACGTGTACAGCCATTGGCATCGAGATTACATTCGGATTCCGAGGAGAAGCGAAGAAGAGTAGCATAGGCTGATGTACAAGTTTGATTGGTCATGCGAGGAGAGGACGGAGACGGGCTTGGACAGAAGTAGACGCGGAATGCGAGCTATCAGTACATCAGGGGTTCAGGGTCGTGTTCGAGTCAGGGAACGGACGTTATCACACGGAAGAATGAGGGAGTAAGGTCGTGCGCGCGATGATGAGAGGCAGGTGCAGAGATGGAACTCGAGCCCGAAAGCAGCTACCCTGAGAACGAGGCCGGCCCGGCGTCTTCAGCGACGGCATTCACGGATGCTCGACGGCCAGAAATCGGATCGGGTGGGTCTGTGCGTGTCTGGGGAGGTATACTCAACGTGGTAAACACAGCCAAAGATCTCGAAGACATTCAGACGACGCCCGCGCTCAGTCAGAGATGGTCACACCTTGTGCGCAGCATTCAACACGGCAACAACTACCCCCATGACCCAAACGTTCGCATTAATCTGGACCTCGACATGTTGGTCCTGATACATATTAGACACAACCACGTTTCACCGTACATTACGCATACCATGAGCTTGAGGACAATGAGAACGGGGTTCGTGCAAGTGACAGATAACACGCACGAATGACTTTGCAACTTGTTTGTAGGATGACGGCTCCCGCGGCGCCGGGGAGAGTGATGGCCGACGAGGAGGTGGCGTTGAGTCGTATGACCTGAACGATGCGCGTTGAGCAGCGGGCGCATAGGGTGGCGGGCTCTGTTTCGCGGCAACAGTCAGATGGGCGTCGGTGACTTCGGCGAGTTCAACGCACTTGGTAGTACGGCTGCTGCGCAGGGAACGGCGGTCCTTGCGGAGTGGGAGGTCCGTACGCCGATGCAAGAGGAGGCGGAGCGGGGCCGTGGGTAAACATCTTTGACCGATCCTAGGGGTGAGGTAGGAGACGGGTGAAGAACATAAGGCCGTAGCCTTATATACCGTGTAGGCAGAGTTGGATACGATTTGATGGATGTCTCGTGAGAGGCGCTAAACTTGAGCTTCAGGCGGCCAGGCGTTCGAGCATCGAACTCAAGGGACGGCGGATCGACGGGCGCATGCGAACTTTCGGCCAGCTCCAGCAGGCATCTCTACCACGAGCCTGGATACAAGGACGCCTTCGAGATCTCAATGGGGCAAAACTCTATTGTGATTCCCGTGTTAGAGACGTCGGACGTGCAGAGCGTAATAGGGCTGCATTTGCTTCATCGGCTGCGCCGCGGACGGAGACATCTGGCGTTGTTGTCATGCCGTCAATATATTCATTCGCCGTCGAGTCAAAGAGAATCGGGGACATAAAGTTGACATGATGAAGGATGGAGGTGAGAAGGTGCGGCTCCGAGAACGCGAGGCGAGGCCGAGAGACGCGTCGCGCCGCGCGACGCGTCTGAATTTTCCCTCGGATTTTCTGGCCATATTTCCGCGTTCGCACGACGTCAGTCGCGCGTTGACCAGGTGTTGTCCTTGACCCTCATCTGCGCTAACGGGAAAAGGCTGACTGCGCGTATCTACGACTTCTATCTTCACTAGGGTATCCTTACCCGCAATATCGCAAGCTTCTCTCGGCCTTATTCTCTCCCTTTCATTTGCCATCCGGGTAGATCTACATCAGCACAATACAACAAGGGACCTGTCTAGTTTCTAGAGCTATCCGCGGCAGCTGCGACTATCAACTATGCCTAATCAGCTCTCGCTACCGTCGAAGAAGACTTATGTCCTTCCTATACGAGACGCCGTGGACCGGCATATACGGAACAAGCATCCAGAAACGCACCCCGATGCGTTCAGGGCGGACGTTGATCGCTGGGAAGCTCTACGCGCAGCTGCCGTAGAGTCTAGAGTGCACGTCGATACGGCTTCGGCCATCGTGCAGTGGGTAGCATTGCCACCCAGGCGGGAGAAGCGAAGCTGATCTTCTCGTCCGCTTCTCGCAGATATCACGCTCAGTTGGTCTTCGCTCTCACTAAACTTCCGGCAAACGTACGCATTCAAGACGTGTAATCGCTTCTGTACCAACATCATGCTAGCTTGGACTCGATGTTGTTTACGAATCCGCCTTTGCCGCTCGCCCGAACCCAATCTCACTCCCAAATCTGCACTATGAGCGGTGTGCCACACTGTACAACTTAGCCGCTCGATACTCCCAACTCGCCATGGCAGAAGACCGATCGAAGCCCGAAGGTGTCAAGCAGGCCAACGGTTACTATCAGGTGGGTGTCGTTATGTAGACAATCTCTCATCCCCTCTGTACTGTCAGAGTCGATGACTTGAGATGCTCTACATTCCATTCTTTGATCGCCGCGTGCTGACGGCACCTTCTCCAGCACGCCGCGGGCGTACTGTCCTTCCTGGTCCGAGATGCGCTTCCCAAACTCCAGACTACAATAACGGCAGACGATCTACCGGCGGATCTCAGCGAGTCTTTCCTTAAGGCGCTGGAGTGGCTCATGCTTGCTCAGGCGCAAGAGTGCGTCTGGCAACGTGCCGTGCTTGGTGAGCCCCGTCTGATTTTCCCGGAACGACATGTATCAGCTGGTGACTTCGATGTGTTGGCGTCGCCCGACTATCTCTATTACATGTCCCCGTAGCCTTCAAACCTTACAGTCGATTCAGGTGCACGATCTTCTCTTTCTGATGACAGTGTTCTCTGAGCCCACTGTCGAGTCGATCCGATCTCGCGCTTACATCGTCCTGTGGACCATGAAGTCATATTCATTATGCTTACCACTATACAGATAGCATGTCAAACGGTGTCATAGCTCGTTTGGCAGCCCAGGTACGCCGTAGTGTGCCTAGACGTGGCTTCACTTCATCATTTGTCCTTGCAGGTTTCCGCGTACTACGGCCTTTCCCTGAACACGCTCTCGGAAGCATCCTCCGACATTCGCCACGAGTTACCTTCAGTTCGTGAGTTTAGCTACGTTCGCGCGTTCCGCGAGATTGATCGCAGACGCAGGGTTGGCTTTCGCACTTGGAAACGAAGCAATTGCACTTTGATGCTGCCTCACAGTACCGTCAAAGCATCACCGACCTTGAGCGTAACAAGTATGGACGGTTACTTATATCGCTCGGATGATTCTTATGTTCATATTCCGCAGTTACGGTAGCGAGGTAGCGCGTTTGACGGCAGCGCGTGTCTCGGCGAAGAAGGGCTATGATGTAGCGCGACGAGCAGGAAGCGGTCTCGCACAAGCCGTGTTCGAGGACATCAAATCTCTATTGGACATAGTGGAGAAGAACCTCAAACGCGCGGAACGCGACAACGACCTGATCTACCATGAAGACGTTCCACCGGCGTCTGCACTCGCCAACATCCCGCCAACAAGTATGGTGCGCTTTACGGTTCCCACGGGTCTAGAAGACCCGAAGGCTGCGCTCGGGAAACAACAGGGGCTGTTTGCTGAGCTCCTTAGCTGGGGTGCGCGGGTAGCCATTGGTAAGTGCGGGCCCTGGACGGCTCACCCTGTAAAGCTGAGAACCGATCTAGAGCTGTATGAGGATCGCAGGGCGACGTTTATCAAAGATGATGTCGCCGGGGCCGCACAATCATTAGACGACGCTCAGAACAGGGTTCTCCGAGACTTGAATCTGCCATCTGCCGTTGACGCCCTAGATGCACACATCGGACTCCCTCCAAGCTTACTTCGCAAGGCGGAGGAAGTGCGCGTGGACCAAGGTCCCGAACGCATAGAGCAAGCTTTTGATGACGTGCAAATGCTGGCTGGCCGTGCGCAACGTATCCTAGACGACGTGAGTTGACGCCGCATAGACCCCTGCCAACGTCTGACTGTCGTAGGCCATGGACATCCTCGACGCCGAAGCATCGGAGGACGAGAAAGTCCGCTTGGAGCATCCGGAGCGACCACCATCACACGAGGCTAATGAGGAACTCACGCGCAAGGCTGAACGGTATCGCGCGATCCTGCAGCAGGCGGCTGAGAGTGATGCCGTAGTGCGCGAGCGCTGGGATGAATGGCAAGATAGCATCGAGCGCCTCGCCTGGGACGAGGTTAGCAGCTGTCATGAACCGTTACTTCGGAAACCGACATGCTAACTCGGGACTAGGACAAGCTCGAAGCCTCAGTACCAGCGACAACTGGTCCGTCAGCTGCGGGCCCCGCTCAGGCTCACGCACGCGGAGTCCGTGCGCTTCTAGAGGATCTAGACGACCTTTCGCGTTCACGTCAGCAACTCGTGGGTCGCGCGAGGCGACGTGCAGAGGTCGACGATATCCAGCCACGTATCGTGAAGGAGGCTGCTGGTATAGAGCAATGGATGGAGGTTCAGCCCAGCATGTTTGAAGATACGATTGAAGAGGAACTTGTCAAGTACGAGAAGTTCCGCGCGGATATAGTCGAAGGCGGGAAGAAACAGGACGAGATCCTGGAGCAGCTCCGCGGGCGCATGAAAGCCTTTCTCGCTTCGCGCTCGCATGAGCCTGCGGTCAAGGAGCGGGAAGCGGCGCTGCAGGAGCTAGATCTTGCCTACCATAAGTATCAAGATATCACTCGTCACCTCGATGAGGGACATCAAGTACGTTTCTGGGAACCTTGTATGCGGACTCCGAGGCTAAGGCCTTTGCAGTTCTACAATGATCTATCGGCCATTCTCTTGCGGTTCCAGCAGACTTGCAAAGAATGGACTGCATCAAGGCGCGATGAGCTGCGGTAAGCTGCTAATAGCACCGTGTATCTTTGAACGTGTGTCCTTATGCGCCATACAGTGGCATCACACAGGGGATGCGTAACATGTCAGTCAACGCACAGGCAGCCTCTCAACCGGCTGCGGCCGTTAGCCCCGCTACACCGTCGCGTGCACCGCGCCGTGTGCCGAAGACACCAGCGCCTCCTCGCGTTACCCCTGATACACCTGCTCCCTCTAGCGCCGTCCCTGACAGCCCGGCGCCTGCAGAGATAGCCTCGCCCACCTTTCCGACTGCACCGACAGCGGCGCCGCAGACGCCCAAGAAGAAGTTCGCTTTGAACCTGCCACCTCCTGACTCGGACGCATGGACTACTATGGACATTCCGGCACCACCTCCATCTGCCAACGCGAAGGGGAAGGGAAAGAAGCGAGAGTTTGCTTGAACACGCGTGCGCGTGGAGGACTAGTGTACGGACTTACGAGTGTCTTGACGCATTTGGCTTGAGGTCGGACGGAGAATTAGGGTTGTGCACATCACATAATTAGGTCAGAAGTGTAGCAATAAACGCTCTATGGTCGGTGCCGAACTGCAGATGCAGCAATCATTCATCGTTCTCGCCCTCCTCCACAACTCCACCTAATCGTCTCACCAGATCCTCGAGCCCAATGTCTCGCTCAATCTAAGAGAGAGAAGACGTTAGCAACGCGGATAGCCGGGCATGGGAAGCAACGGCACCTGTTTCTTCAGCAATGCATCGCCCTTTCCTGCGTCGCTGTCGAAAGCCGCATCAATGGCTTCGAGCGGCATTCCGGCCGTTTCGGGAACAAAATGCGTCGCCCAGAGGTATGCAAGGAAGCAAGCACCCGCAAATGTACCGAAGGTTAGCCTATCAGAAAGTCTGCAATCAGCGGGCGAGCAGAGCGCGCAAGGCTGGCGTCCACGCACGATGGTGAATAGTCCAATAATGGCGGCGTGATGAGGCCGATCAAGACTGTCATTATGTCCGTTCAATGGGAAGAATAATGAGTAAGGGGATATATACGAACAGTTGTTCACCCAGTTCGATGCTGTACTCAGCGCCACGCCTTTGCCGCGCATGCTCAGAGGGAAAACCTCGCTGAAGTGGCGTGAGGGCCCATAAAACCGGTCAAGGTAGTATTGCGGCTTACCTGGGAAGCACCCAAGCCACGGGTCCAAAGCTCACTCCGTATGCAGCGGTGAAAGCGTACACACATGCCACCGCTATCCATCCAGCACCAGATCCTTCGGACCACCTTCCTTCGAAGAAGTGCACAAGCATCGCGACGGCAAGATGCGCGATGGTCATAGCCGCTGCTCCAGCACGAAGCATCGGGCGACGACCCCAGCGGTCGATGTATAAGATAGCCGGGAGTACCGCGATGAATTGCACGACGTTCACACCGCCGGCGACCATCAAGTCAATCGCGCCGCCGCCAAGACCGAGAGCGCGCATGAGCGTCGGGCCGTAGTAGAGCAACGCGTTGATGCCGCTCCATTGCTGAAACACCATGATCAAAACGCCGACTAGTGTACGTGCGCGATATTGCGGGTTGAAAAGACGCGCCCATGCACGCGCTTCAATTGCAAGAGCGTGGGTGTGCTTCGTCTCGGCGGGAACATGGGCGCGTTGTATCAGAAGCGCTTCGACCTGCATCTCCAGCAGCTCAATCTCGAGCAACGGATCTTCTACAGGACGTCCTCTGAGCCGGACAAGAGACGCGCGTGCAGCGTCCAAAGAGCCTTTGAGGACGAGTAGTCTTGGAGATGGAGGTAGGAAGTATGTTCCGAGACCGAGGAGAACACCTGGGATGAGCTGAATGCCGAGCGGAACGCGCCAGGACATGCTTCCCTCGACTAAATTCACGATCAATGCACGTTCATATGAGCAATACGCGTAGCGACATACTTGTGCGAGTGAAGAAACCGGTCCAAAAGCCGAGCACACAACCGAGTACGATTGAGAACTGCTCAAGAGCCAAGAGTGATCCGCGAACTTCGGGTGACGCTATCTCGGCCATATACAAGGGCGACAGCATACTGAATGACAAGATTTACTGCTCGATACGTCCGTCAGGAGTATTATGCAATCGCAAGATACGCACCTCAAGGCGCCCACACCTAGTCCTCCGATTGCTCGTCCGATAGTAAGATGGAAAAGTGATGTCGCGCCGCATTGTAGAGTAGAGCCGATGCAGAAAACGACTATAATGGGATTGAGCGACTATGACATACTGCATGATGGCAGGCCACGTACCACAAGCGAACATGATGCCGGCCCTGCGCGAGAGTCTATCCGCTAGCACTCCCGCACCCAGCGCACCGAAGAGGCATCCGAGCTCTAGTACCGCGGCTATTTGCCCAAGTCAGTCATATGGTTCCTGCCTCGCATTGCGGTGAACGTACTCATGATACCCCGCTGCCAGGCACTGATAGGCCAACGCAGTACGAAGTCGGGCATGACAAGCACGTTCGCGATCACTCCCTGTTTGCGGTGTAATTGCTCGAGTACGTCCTTTCTTCACGAGATCATTTGGGCTCACTTGGTCGTATCCAAACGTAAGGCCTCCAAGAGAGGCAAATATAGCGCAAGCGAGAGCGAGGCGGTTGTGTGCTAGCCCAGTAAGGCCAGGAGGGCCGTACGCGTAACTATACGAACCGTCCGCGCGGACAGAAAGCGAGCCACCGCGTAGGCCTGTCACATCACGTTCCAGTAGCGGCTCGGTAGAACCATGTTCAGTATCTCGATCGGGGAGGTATGTATATGTTCTTCGCGTAGACATGACGGGGAGAGGCAAGGAGGGTGCACATGTTGCAGCGCGGGCCGGAGCTGTGGCGTTTTGATGGCAGTCAGGTGCGAGGGCGTCGGCTTGCTCTTGACCACCATGGTCCATGTTCGCAGCAGATCATATTGACACTGCTCAAAGTCGACGTTTCATGGCCTCTCCATCTCCAAGACAGGTGGAAAGTCGTTTCTTGAATGCACCTATGGAGGCACTACTTGCTTCGTGTCATATCATCCTGACCGGCAATGCGGTCCCTTCGTTGATCACTATCAGTCGTCTAATTGATATATGTGGTCACTCGCCATGACCGCACGCGATACTATGGAGCCTGTGGACAATGCAGAAGTGCCAGATGCACATGGTGCACTTCTCTCTGATGTGGGGAAGTGGGATCCAGCGCTCATACATGGCAATATATACTGCATGTATCGACAACGGCATGCCACTTCGCGTTCAAGGTACTCGCCACTCGTGCACTCTACTCACAGCGCCATTTCATCGTCCGATGAGCGAGTCTAGCCATTCTTCACGCCATTGATTCCTTCACTCTCACTACCTTCCCCGATGGGACGACTCCCGAGCGCAAGGCCCAGACCAGAGCTCACTAGCGCTCACTCCGAGCCTTCGAGCCTCTTGCCGCTCTATGTCTCCTTCGGACCATCTGCGAGCTGGCCTGCGTGCGCGAGCATGGTGGACTGCGATTTCGTCTTCGGTCCCAATTGCAAACTCGAAGCCGTCGGCAGAGGTGCTTGAGTTGATGCTGTGCTCGAGGAACGCAAGGCGGGTGTCTACCAGAGCCACCAGGAGAGTTGGATACAGTGCCTGGAACGAGGTGAGCTCTTTCTTCCATCGAATCAGCCGTAGATCCGTATGGTTGACTCACTACCAGGGACATCGCGCAGATACTGAACATCGCGGTAACTGTTGCCTCAGTCGGTTCAATGCCCATTGCGCCCAGAACGTTGGCTGTAGTCAAGACAGAGTATGAAGCCTGAAAATGACAATTCCGTCGTTCGTCGAGGTCAAGCATGCATCGCGCACTCACAAGAATGACGAGGTATGCGGCTCCCGACTCTGTCATGATGATCAGCACCATAAGCCCAGTATGCCACTTGTTCGGACGTCCGATGAAACCGCGAACGTCTTTCCAGTGAGTCCTGTTGTAGAAAATGTATCATCTGTGGCTGACTCACCAGAAGTGGTAGCAGGGCGTCACACACCAAGTCTTGTATGCGATGAGCGAGGTAGAGACGCACTGGATAACAACGGGCATCAATGCGCTGAGCGTGTTACCGTACGGAAGCCACTGGGAGTCGTTCATCCTCGTGAGCACGATGAAAGTAGCCATGACAGCTAACATCACAATGAAGTTAACGAAGAAATGAGTCAAGCGTCTCGAGGAACCTGATGCACTGACTGACCGGCTTCGACCAGAATCGTACATGCCGACAGCAAGCACAGAACACGAGGCCGCCCAAAGATGACACACGCTCGCCAAAGTGAAACAGCATCCCCAAGCAACACCTGAAAGGATATCAGGGGCATAATCATACATTGGTTGACTGTATATACACCCACCGTCATCAGCCGCGCCGGAACTTTCACGTACGATTGCAGGCGCTCAGAAGTTACATTGAGATGGCGGATCTTGGAGATTTCAGCGTGCGAAGGCTGAGAAGATTGTCCGAGAGCATACGCCATCATACAGAGTGCGTAGACGTCCACCAACCAGTACAGGGTGAATAGGACGAACATCGATGGCGGCACCCAGGTCGTGAACGCGGACACCGGCGTTGACTCTGACTTAATCCTCCATGAATCACATTCAAGGTCAGTGGATTATCGCAAAAGCTCTTAGATCATGGATCGAACTGACCATCTCCGGTGGATCATATGAACCGTGAGGACGGTCAACAGGGCTTAAGACGAGATTATGTATCATCACAGAGAAAGATACTGCTTGACGCACCGGCAAAGAAGGTCTCTATGATGATCGCGAGGGTGTCTATGAGGGCTATACGACTTTCGTCGTCCGTGGTAGCGGTGATGTTAGGAGGGGTCGCGTCAATAATGAGGCTATCGCTGGCGGCGAGGGATAGACAAAGGTCATCTTCTTTCGATTCTTACTTATATGTAGTACTTACCATGGAATGCAGTGATGGATATTGATATGGCACATGCACGCTCGGGACAGTTGGATGTCTTCTCCAAGGACAACGTCGCATCTGCATCATGTCCGAGTGTGACGACAGCGGGGCCGCCGCCCTCCTCTCAACGTCGCAGCGTGTTGTACGTATGCACATATGGTACTGCAATTACAGCACTATATCCTTTTACGCCGCGGCGCACATCGACCCAATTCACCCCAGAAGCCTGCACCTCAGAACTTCACCGGCACACAAAGATCAACCGATCCAAAGGTTTAGGGCGTCCTCAGAATGTTCCTAAGGTCATATTGATCTGCGTCGTACACAGTTGGCAATGCGCGAACTGCACGCTCGTTGAAGATAACTTTCGGCCAAATCGGTACCCAAGACGCTGTTTCAAGTCGACGTCGGGTCAGTGCAGTGTTGATGGACTAGTGGCAACTTAGGGTACTGCCAGGAGCGCCGGACGCTTGCTCGTTGCTCCACTTGCAACGTCGACGGGACTCTATATTAGAGAAAGAGCGACCCCATACGACCCAGGGTGCGCGGTCATGGTGGTCCGACTCTCCGAGGCGGAGAGGCATCCTTGAGGCACCCTGGTGCAGCGCAAAATATAGTAGATTATGAGCACATGATATATTTAACGGAAGTAAACTAATCATCTGCCCCATGGCTGAGTTGGTTACAGCGTCCGACTGTTATCTCCAAGCAATCGGAAGGTCGTGAGTTCGAGCCTCACTGGGGCAGCATGCCGTCTTGCTAGGGCTCTTTTTGCCTGTCAAAGTTGTGTGAAAGTTTGTGAAAGGTGCGTTCTACATTAATTCTACGCACTGCATACTCACGTCGTGTGCCACACCGTGCAACCGTCGCAGATGCCCGATCATCCAGAGTACACGCGTTATGCGGGAATCTGCTCGCGGTCCAAGTGAATCGGGCGCAAAACTCTTACGGTAGGATACTCGACGGCATATGTAATAGACAGGAACGAGAACGGCGGTAGCTGGTAAGAAGGCTCAGGCTCGGGTCAGACAGGCGTATACGAACAGAATCGCCCGGCGACGGGCACGAAGATGGGTCGGGCGGGCTAAGTGCAAAGGGACAATGTAACGGTAGATACACGGAGAAGAGGCAGGGATAAGTGAGGTGCTAAGTAATGGCGGGCTGCTAGGCGGGTGAGAATACGAATCTGGGTGGTTGAAGGCGGATTCAGAGTCGGCAAAGGTGGAGGTAAAGGTAGAGATCAAGGCGAGGGCGAGTGTAGGTGGGATGCGGCTTCGGCGCGTGGGCAAGATATCGATAGAACGGGGTGGGTGGAGGCCAGCGTCCTTGGAGCAGCTATGGACGGGTGTGCAAGAAGGCAGGTGCGAGCGGTATATAAATATATCGACAGGGCTGTACGGCGGGTGTGGGGCATGGCAAGGGGGCGTACAACGAGACACAAGAGTCACAAGCGGGCAACGAATCACGCAGTCACTTTCGAATACGCCTCTCACATCGCCTGCCCGCCCCAGCTCGCAACACTGCTCCGCTCCGTCGGCGGATAGCTACTCGCATAGCTCCCCCGCTTATTCTCCTCTCCACCCTGCAGCGCCGCCAACAACCCCTGCATGCCCGCGCTCGACCCCGGGCCCGCAGTAGGACTCGGGTTCTGGTTCGACAGCGGGCGGACAGAGCTATCGGGCCGCGCAGGCCCAGCGCGGACAGTCTCAACGCTCGAGATGCTCTCGCGGCGCACGGCCGGGAGCGGCACCGTGACGCCCGGGTCGAGATTCAGGGGGTATAGCGACGGCGCGTCCTCTGAGCGGCGCGTCGCCTCGGACGCGGCGCGGCTGCGCCGGCGCTGGTCCGCGAACGGGTTCTCGTGCGCGCCGCCAAAGAAGGGGTTGCGCCCGCTCTTGGTGCGGCCCAAGTCAACTGGCGCAGAGTCGTCCGCGAAGGGGTTCGACTGGGCGTGCATAGCCAGGGGCGAGGAGGAGTCTGCGTTGGACGTTGTAGCGTACATAGAGTCGCTGTCCATCGTGAGTACTTCGGCGCTTTCCCAGCGGTGCAGGGCGGGCACTGCTGCTGAGGGCGGAGGCACGGTCTTGACGAGTGCGCCGGCGAGCGAGCCGTCCGAGAGGCGCAGGCTAAGGAAGCTGTCGGTCCCGCGCGTGCGCTCCGAGTCGTTGTCGCGGCCCTGGGCGAACGGGCGCGAGGGCGGCGCGACCTCCTCGTTCGCGAGCTCCGCGGCGAGGTCCGGGTGGTAGGTCGCGAAGTTGGGCATCGTCGACGGGTCGAACTGGTTCAGGCGGCTCTTGTTGTCGTCGATCCCCGAGCGGGTGGACGACGCCTTGCGGAAGAGCGACAGGCGCGCGCTGGTGTCGACGCTCTTGGTCGTGTTCGACCGCGCGGTCGTCGCCGGGGCCGACGATTTCTTCTCCATGCCCTCCCAGACGTCGCCCTGCCCGCTGTCGTCCAGCTTCGCCCACGGCTGCGCTTGGCGCGCGCGCTGCGCCTTGTCGAGCGCGGAGGCCCAGCGGCGGCGCAGGGAGAAGTAGACGACGAGGATGACGAGTAAAACGCCGGCGAACGCGGCGATGATGATGCCGATCATCGCGCCGGTGCCGAGCCCGCTCTTGCCGCTGCTGCCGGACGCCGCGGCATGTGCCACGCCGGTCGACGAGGACGAGGGCAGAGAGGAGGCGCCGGAGGTGGTGACGACGACGGCGGAGGAGCCGACGACGAGGTCGGCCGTTACCGACGCCGTGGCCGCGGCTGCGTCGCCGTCGAGCAGGAGCGAGCCGGTCTGTGCGGCGCCGGTTGCCGCGGCTGTTTGGGCGGCGCCGAGGCCGGCGGCGGTGGGGACTGTCAGCGAGTCGTCCTGCCGCCGGGAGTAGTGGTGCGCTTGGATGCGCATTGTCTGGCGAGAGGGTGGGGTTGGATTCAAAGAGCGGCGGTCTGCGATGAATGAATGTATATGTCAGGTTCTTGTTCGGTTCGAGGGTGGAAGGCAAGCGTACGGTCAGAATGGGTATTTTCTGCGGCTACATGCACGGTTGGAGAAAAGACAGGCAGCGGCAGGCGCGGACGACGGCCAACAGACGAGACGGACACGATCCAAGAAACACCGCCTGCGCGCTCGAAGCCCAAACTCTCCTCCGCGCCCGCGCGGTCCGCCTTCCCACGACGGCTTCCGCAGCTTCTACGTATACAATTCATATATTCTCGCTCCCACAGGCTTTCGTCTTCCATAACAAGGTGTCCGCTTCAGTGTGTGCTTTGAGTGGGACTCCCGCTGATTCAGAGCGTGTTGCTCGCTGCTGTTTGCTTGCATTGAACTGTTCGATGTGCGGGGCGAAGGCGGGCTTCGAACGCGCGTGGAGCGTGTCATCGGCGCCGGCGTTTGCGCCGTTCTCCCGCATGTTGCCATGTCGACGGTCCCGTTCCGGCCGCAGCGTTCCGCGGCATCCTTCCACCCCTTCGATCGGCCCGCTCTGACGTTTGCTCCCGACGCTCATGTTCGCCTTGCGAGCTCAAAACTACGCACAAGTACTCATATGTACCTCCTCTATATGCAGGAGCTCTGAAATCTCATGAGCCCTCTGAATCCACCCTGACGGCCCGGGCACGTACCATCATGATCATGGGAGTCTTGATAGTGCCGCCGCCGAGTGATCTGGGACTCGTCAAACGCGGTCTTCGGCGATCTGTGGGACTGGGAGACCTCGTAGACTTGTAGCCTTGCACTGATACGCTGATAGCACCGACAACTTGATACACTTCAAGGTTCGTATGGCATCGGCTTCGTCAGCGAACGATTCCGGTGGCAAGCGGTCTCGTCGTTCGCGTTTCCCGGGCACATCGAGATCGCACAAACCCCAGCAGCATGCTGGAAGGCGGATTCGACACCGGCCGCTGGGACCATGCACCCAGGCAAGGCTGGGCCTCGTTATGAGTGCACCCGTTCACGGCCGGTAACCCAAGCGCCTCTCCTGACGTACGCACGACCATCACCTGCTCGCCACATCACTCCCCTCCCGCACCTCGTGTTGTAGTCCTCCGGCGTGCGATCTTTCCTACTTCCTCCTATAAGTCCCTCATCCGCGCCATCCCGCGAAAGCTGGAGTCCGCCCGCCAATCGTCCCGCGCGACCGCGAGAGCAAGCCAAGTCTGGCTTGGCTTTAGACGACCAAAAGAGTCGTCTGGCGTCTGTTCCACGCCTCTTCACCGCATCGTCGGTGGAAGATACTGGAATGAGCCGGTACAATGCCCGCGTATGAAATGAAGCTTTGACTGGCGGTTGTCGTGCACGGCTGACGAGCTCATGAATTGGTTACAGATTATGCGGACATTTGGGAGGACTCCCAATTCCCCCTTCGACTCATACTCGGCCTTGATCTCGGTTCGTGTTTGAGTCGGAGTACGGTACGTGAGTCCGTTGTATGCGAGGATACTAGGTAGCTGACTGAGTGTACTCGCAGCGCATTTGCCTGCTCCTGTCAACTTGACGGGGTGGACCACGCGCGTTCTATATATTGTATCGGGCTTCGCTCGCTTTACTCTCGCCGGTATATCCATACGCAATGCATTACGAGCTTCTAGAGAGAACCATGGGCGCCCAAGTCCAAGTCACTTTTGAAGTACATAAAAATCGTCAATCACACTCGAAATCGCAGCCCGTGTACACAAGATTCGGCCGTCTACAAGCGAGTCGAGCATCCTTGGTCTCATCTACCATACACCTATGTCAGCACCCTCTTACAATGCATACGTCCGACGTAAATGCGTCTCTCTCGACCTTCCATCCATCGCGGACGCGCGGAAGGGAGAAAAGTCACGGGGCCGTTCACACACATGCGCCCGAACCGTCGCTGCGAGCGCTGCGACTTGCGTCTGACGATGGCTGGAGCCCCCTCAGCGCATATATCTATGCAAAACAGTACTCGATCTGTAGCTCAAGAGCTTTAGGGCTGGGAACTGTCGTCGTAGCATATCCTGACACGCCGTCAAACTGCTATGTGCCTGTGAGTTTTCGCGGCTGGTCTCACTGTCCATGTTATCTGACGTAGAGCGAAGCGCTTTAGCCGCCACAGGGCTCTGAAAGCCGCTCGTGTGGGCTGTACTACGAATTTGGAGACTAATTTCTGAAAGGGCTGTATCACTCGGCGGCTTCTTCACTGCCGCCCCGTGCGATCAGCTCACTTTCACAGAGCTGGACGTCAGCACTTCTCCTCCGACCATCATCACTCTTGGCGCCTTATCTGTCAAAGTTGGCTGTGCGTCGTGACGATGTTCCGTTGCAAGCCTTTAAGTTTCTGGGAAGGTGTCCACGAGGTCGATGTAATACCATGTATGATATGCGTCATTCCCAGAATAAACCACTGCTCGAGCCCATCTGAACCCGCACGCGGCGCCCACTGGCATACCCCTCGACCACTATATATCACATTCCCTCCACACAAGAGGTACTTATCGCCAGCATTAGATCGTCCATTCGGCGCGCACCAGGCGCAAACACCGGTGTAGTGCCCACCACCAATGTATACGCGCACACGTGAGCCCTCACATCCGCGATGGTCGTCGCGTTCAACGTTGCCATCGCCATCTACGAGCCAGCGATGAGCGTCAACGCCTCAACCCCGCTGCCATAGATAACCATCCCACCATGTAGTTCATCCTCGCAGTCTCGAGCTGCGTCGTGATGTCCTGCAACTCGCTTTTATGTCTCTTGGCCGCAAAGAAGCGGCGCAGGCGGCCCTTGCGTTGGTTAACGATGTCTTCGAGGTCGTTGTTCAGCACGGCGATGTCACTGTGATCATATCCAATGTCAAGGGAGGGTGGCACGAGTCCTTGCTCGAGGGCTTACTCGGCAAGTGCACTGATAGCGTCTTGATGCTCGGGTACAAGTAGACTTCCCTGTGACGCACCACGTTTGAGAGATGCAGCAAGGCCGATCACGCGCTTATGAATGTCGCGAATCTGCTTCTTGTTGGTAGAGGCCATCTGTATGAATGTTCAGCCTGGTCATCGCCGAGGGGTATCACACGACAGATGGACTCACATCAGCTCGAGTGGCAAAGAAGAGTAGCCCACTAGCTGCACTCTTGAGCGGCGGAAAGGCATCCGAAGATCGCGCGATAGCCTCCAGGGTGAACAGCAGTGCGTCCTTGGCTATCGTTCCAGAGCTAAACAGCATACCGTTTCCGGCTCCAGTGATCGGGTCTGGTGTGATGATGATGAAGATGAGTCTTGCAAGCTCTGCCTCGCGGCCTTGTTCATCTTTATGGTTTCGAGTCAGTATCGAGCTGGATTGACGTGCTACAAGCGGGTACACCGCCACTCACAGTACTGCTTGTCTCCTGTGGCAAGGTCATTCATATGAAATGCGGCGTCGGATAGACGGTACACGATGTTCGCGAAGTGGTCTTTCTTGTCTTGCATGCGAATGTACGGCACTCGTCCGATGGTGTCTGCTACGTTCACCAGCACCTTGAGGACTCTATCGACATTCGGGTCCCAAGGTTGGTGAGTAGGCCAAGACTAGTTGGACTGGTCAATCCCGGACTATGGATCGACGATGCTCTCTCACCTGGTACACCCCGTACTTGATCAGTTGTGCGAAAAATCTAGTCGACGTCTGAACCTGAAAACGGTGCACGCGTTATCCCGCGGATCCCGTTCAAGTCATGCAGTGCTTCACACCTCCAGTTGGCGAGCTCTATCCACTAAAGGTGAGAGCTGACCAAAGACAGAGCTCCACGAGCTTGCGGCCATAGTTTCGCTGAAGTCAAACGAACTAGGCAGCTCCGCCACGGTATCTACTAAACAAAGGAGGACGCGCTTTACGTCAGAGACAAACGCCAGAGTCAATCCGACAACCTGATTGGCTGGCGACGTGGCGTCAGCGCGCGAGACGCGTCGCGGCGCGTCGGACGCGCGCGCGCCGACCTGCTTGCGACGCGAACATTCTCGAATTGCGCGAGCCGGGCGCAGCTGCATGGAGCGAATGCGCAAGCGAGACTCGAGGCGAATAAAATCTGGTCAGGGTGCATGGAATTGTAGAGCATGGGCACCTGGTGCAAGCGTACAGTAACCGGGCGCAAGGTAGGGTATGTCGGAACTTCAGTGGGTGCAAAGCAAAAAAGGCACACTGGGCTCAAGGTCACATCTTGCTACTTGCTGGATGAAGCGAGTTATTGTCAACACAGTGCACTAGATGCAAAGAACCGTATATTGACCGGGTGTGAAGCAGGAAACGAGACGCGACAAAGCGAACATCTGGCTTGCGAGCACCTACGGTGCCTCAGAAGTACATTCGGTAAGTGCGCGCTACCGGGTGCAAAGTAAACGCTGGGGAAAACGATCCACGTGTGCAAACGGTCAGCCCGTGCGGAGCACGGGTCTACGCTAGTGGTAACTATGCGATAGGGATGATTGTCCGACATCGCGATTGTCGATAAAGGACAGAGAGGCGGAGAGGGATAGTGCGCAGTCAATGTCCATCCCTGGGCTGTGTTCTGGCTCAAATAACACTTTTGGAGCAATGTCAGTGACCGCCGTCCGGCGATTCGATTGGAGTAGCACGCATACACAGAGGTTCGGACAAGAGTTCTGTGACAGATACACATCTCACCGATGACAGAGTAACATCGTTGGCGGGACGCATCCTGAGAGTGATGTGGATATAGCTGAGCTCCAGACATTTGCTACGCGGGATGTGAGCAGTAGACAACAGATCCGCTTGATAACCCCCACGTACATGTCAAAGGTCTCGCCCCACTGTGTCCTGTCTTGGAGAGACTCTGTAGCTTCATATGATATCGAGGAACACTTGCAAGCACCGCTCTCGTCGCTGGCGGAAAGTAAGTGGAATCGCACTTGAAACCACCCGGTGGTGACAGGCTTCGAGAGAAGCCTGAAGTTAGGCAAATTCCTGCGTATGCAGACTGGACATAGTCGTGAGCACTCTGAATGGATCCTAGGGACTGCACATGAGACTACTCTTACGGTGGAGGCGTGTGCCGACTGTCCTACCGAGCGAGTGTCCCGCTTCTTGCGAGGCTGACATCAGAAACCTACGGCGGATGCTCAGTGCAACCGGGGAAGCTATTGTGAGTGCGCGTGGAAGGTGCACTCCGCCCTGCGATCCAGACGAGGAGGTAGGCGATCGAGGATGTACAGGACGACGGAAGCCGAAAGAAAGTCAGGCGTGTTATAGAAAGCTGCCCATGAAGTCCCTCAATAGAGGTCCGCGTCGGACATACGTTCTTCACTCTCCGACTCGGACAATGCTCCTCCATCTGCCATCCATATTAGGACGCGAAACGACATAGGTGAAGATACCATGCGTGGTGGCGCAGTGACCTGGGGTGACGGCGCACGGACCTGTTTCAATAAAGGCATAGCTTTCCATATAGGCGTCTAAGTCAAGAAGACAGGCTGCCTCGAGCAGGTCACAACCACGCGTATCACTCGCCGCGCGCGATCCCGTGGCCTCAGCGCGCCTAAAACACGACGCGTCGCGTACTATGAGATCAAGGCTTTGCGCTCACCCTGACCATGTCCGGGCTGCTCTATATCGAGGAGCAATGCATCGTATGCACTGAAGACTTCGGCATTAACCGCAAGGCCAACAGCATCGCGTGCGGTCACGTTTACTGTCGCGAGTACGTGACAAACGCGATGTGTCTCAAATCTCTCGACGAGTGAGACTGATGTATGCGTAGATGCCTCAATAATATCGACCCTCCCGTTTGTCCCGTATGTCGTGAAGAATTTGATGATGAGGGCATCGAGTGCATTGGCCCATGGGAGGAGGAATCAAATCCAGCCGCGGAGCCCGCGCGCGTCGCCGATCACAACGACGACTGGGAATGGGACCCAGACGTGCTTGATCATCTTCATGAAGAGGGGCGCATATGGGAGCCCTCCGACGCCGACCGCGAAGACGACTTGCAAGCCCGCGATGAGCTCGGTCTACCTCGAGATCAGGACGAAGAGCGATATGATCGTGCGCGCTCTGCACTGTACGGTGACGTCGGGCGGTTTGTCGAGGACGAAAATGGTAGGACCGTCTGGGAACGTGGACCACCTGAAAGGGATGATAGTAAACCGGATTGGGCGTTATTGGACAGCGAGTACGCGGAGGACCGGGCAGCGTGGGAGGCGTTGGGCTTGCGGGCGTAGCGCTCTGCGCGCGCTGTAGCGCTCGACGGGTGATTCGTGACGAACGCATCTTGATATTTATTGCCTAGGCATTTGGCCTCATGCAGCCTCACTACATGCAATCCAAGGGTCCATACGTCTCCACTTCGTAGCCCCGAGTTCGCCATGGAGGATGCCGCTCAACCCGCGCACCTGCGTATCAACGCGGTGACGATCCTTGAGAACGGTTAATCAAGTCAGTGGCTACGGGGTGCATCACGCTCTCCCTGCAACCACCACGATGCGAACAACTCTATAGACGATGCCAACAGAATTCCTTGCAGTCCACTCCTGTATTCATACCTTTCTGAAGGGCGTCAGGCACCGTTGGGTACGTTGCCGACACTGCGGTGTTTCCAACGTTGTGCCGATTGGCCCGACTCGCTACCGAGTAACGTGAAGAGAGGCGCTTGGACTCGAGTAATTGCTTATCGCACCCCTCTCTTAATGGATGCCCTCTGTTTTGTAGACTGTTCGTATCTGAGAGCGCGGCTTCGAAGGGCTTCAGGCGAAAGATAGAATCCGTTCATCTTATCAGGCACCGGGGCGGGACGGATGGCTGATGTCTGCATTGGTCTCCATGCGAACAACGTCGTTCTGCAAACACCCGCCACACCCGCGTTCCGATGGCCGAGCGGACCAGAGCTATCTCGGCGCTGTTCATCTGTCCCTCTTCTTCATTCCGACGTCCACGTCCACGTCCCCGCGCTCGCCCTGTGTTTCGTTAGGGCAGTTCGTTCGACCGCGACGAACCTCCCACCAAGCCTCTCGTTTCCATACGTTCTCTCCGCCCCTCCCAGTCATTTCTCCTGTCGATCCTTCTCTCATAAACCAAACGCCGTCGGTCTCGAATATCCCTGCCATTCTGATCCCTCCGTCGCATATCACCAATAATGGCTCCCAGTCTCACCACCCGTGCAAATACTGACAGTGATGATAACAACCAAATCTCGGGTGTCTATATCGGCGGCATCGTCTTCGCCTGTGTCTTCGCTGTTGTTGCTATCTCATGGCTCGTTATCCGTCACATACGCAGTCGCAACCAGAAGAAGCGCGTCAGTGTACGCAACAGTGCCTTCCTGAACGTCAAGGGCGTCGTTTCCGAGAAGGAAGTGTGCGTGCCATGTTTTATCCGACCTCATTGTATTGATATTGACTTCGTTCGCTAGTAAACCTTCAGACGCCACTGCGTTCACCAGAAATAACATCGGCAACGTCGTCATGCCCACGACGGCCGAGGAAATCCTTGCCTACCACCGCGCGAACGGAACCCTCACCCATGCTTTCCAGAGCTCCATCTCCAAGTCTATCGACTCTACCTCGACCGCGCCCACACCTCCTGCGGCACCGCCCGCTGCTGTACCCTCTTCCAACTCGCGTCGTCCAGGCACAGGCCCTCGTCAACCTTCGCGCTTGAATCCAGACGCGCCCTCGCGCACCTCCTTCAACCCGACCTTCACACTGAATCATGGAGGAGGCCAAAGCTCTCAGTCTTCCATCGCCATCTCCGACTACGCTTCGGCGCGCCCGATGAGCACTATCTCTTGGATCCCGCCATCACCTGGCGGTGCGGAGAGTCAGCGCGGAAGCATGATTGGCAGCTGGCGCCATTCGCGCGCAAGCTCGCATGGAAGCGGCCTGAGCGCGGGTGGACTGGGCGAGCGCACCATCCGTCAGACCTTTGCGCCCGTGCTTCCCGACGAGCTACTCCTGTCCATCGGCGAACGCGTCAACGTGGTGCAGACACTCGATGACGGATGGTGCGTCGTCGGTCGCGCTGGCGGTATCATTCGCGCGGAAGCGTTCGGGCAGAAAGCCGAGGATGGCGTGGAGATGGGTGTCGTGCCGGCTTGGGTCTTCATCAAGCCCACCAAGGGTCTCCGCGCGGAGAGGCCTATGCGTACGACTTCGCTCGGTATAACTGTCGAGGTTCCTGCACCCAGCTTCGCTGGCCGCGAGCAAGTCATGAGCTGGAGTAACTTCTAAACGCTCTCCCCTCCCTCCGGCCCCTATTTTGGCCTCCCGTCAAGACGCGTCCACATCATCCAATAATCCCGCATTACCCCCCTCCTGGGCATTCATTCCGATTCTATTTCAGCCCGTATCTCTTCTTTATTCACGTCAGCCCCGTTCGTCCTGCACTTCGTTATTTATGTACAATATCCGCTGCCGCTCGCGGCTGACGACTCGACATGACCGTCGCTGGCATCACCTGCTCCTTCCCTCCACCGCAACCCACCACCCTTACGCGGTACTCTACTCTTGACCTTGAATCCTCTGCGCCTCGGTGCGTCTTCGTGTCGCGCCATGCGCACACTCCCTCTCGCCAGCGAGTCAATTTCCTCACCCCCCATCTCTTGGGTCTATGGTCGTCTGTCGATAGCGCCTCCGCGCCCTTTCTTGTCGGCTACTGTATCAACCATGCTCATGCATACGTATACCCATCTCGCAGCCATAGATGTACCACTGTCTTCCCAATGAATGCAGTGCACCGTTGACAGAACGCCAACCATCACTCCAAGTATCGACCACAGCAACGGCAAATGCAATCATCATCAAATCATCAATACACAAACAGAGGACCCAAGGACATGCTTCGTAACCTGACGAAGAGTACAGATAACCCAGAGACAGAGAAAGGGGATCCTTAATCCGACTTGGCGAGGAAAACGGTCATACCCTGGACGTTGTCGCCGTTGAGGGGCAGACCGGCCTTCTTGGCGGCATTCGCGAGGTTGAGCGTCTGAATCTTCTTCGCCTGTCCTTGCGCGGGCACAGCGAACACTGCGATGGACGTCGCGTTCGCCATGTTCACGTAGAGGAAGCTGTGCAAGTTGCATCAGCATACGACGAAACAATCAAAGATCAAAAGCTGTGGCGCGACGTACTCCTTGTTGTTCACAGTGGCAACCTCAAGATCGATGGTGCCAGCTGCGTCCTGCGTCTCGTACTGCTTGATAACGGTCGAGTTGAGCGTGGAGGGATCAACGGCGATCTCGGTGACGAGGCTGGTCTTGATGTCCGATACGAAGAACGACGAGACCTTGCTGCTGAACGCGGTCCAGCAGACGGCGCCCTGACCTTCGACGGGGACGGTCGTGGTAGCGTTGCTCTTAGCAGCTGCAGAGATGCCCTTCGAGAGGTCGAAGACGTCGGCGCCGACACCAGCATCCGCGACGAAGAGAGCGCCCTTCGAGCCGGCGATGTTCGAGATGGCGAAGGGAAGCGCACCACCCTGCGGAAGCTCGACCTTGGTGAAGTCCTCAGAGAGCGAGCCGTCGTCCTGGATGTCCCATGCGGCAAGGAAACCGGTGAAGTTGGCGTCGGGGTTGCCCTTGACGGCAGCAAACACGGTCTTCTGGTCCTCGCTGAAGATGATGTGGCTGGCTGTGCCGGCCGGGCCAGTCGCGGGCGTCGTCTGGTTGATGTTGATGTTGCGACGCGTGTTGGCCTTAGGCGTGAGGCCGGCAGTGCCGTTGACCGAGAAGCACTGTACACCATCAAGGGCGCCACCGTTGAGGGTGCAAAGCATGTCGCCAGCCGCGTTGAAAGCGAGCGACTGGGGGAACTCGCCGCCGGAGCTGATGGGCTGACCCACAGCGGAGAGCGATGACGGGTTCTTCGGGTCGATCGCGAAGAGGGAGATGGTGTTCGAACCGGCATTGACGGCGGCCAGCATGCTGTTGTTGGCGTTGGTCTTGACAGAACCCTGTCCGAAGAGGGCGTCGGGCCCCTCCGCGTTTCCGTGCTGACCCGCACCGCCAGTGGCCATTGCGGTAGCCAGGGTCTGTACAGCACCATTCAGTTTGAGACGCAAAGAGATCGCAGTGGGATAAACATACCAAAGATCCGTCACTATTGATATCAGCCGCCACAACGAAGTTACCAGAGGGCTCGTTCGTGATCACTATCCGCAAGATCAGTACAAGGCGCCCGTCAAGCTTTAGAACAAAACCCACTGTAGACGGCTCCCATAGATCCGCTGGAGTTGGACTTCTTCTTGGTAAGTTCCATGGGCGCTTTTGAGCCAGACGCGACAGTCATGTCCCGGGCAACGCGACCGGTAGGCGCCGCATAGGTGGACGCGAGGAGAGTGGCAGTGAGAGCAATTGAGAACAGCATCTTTGACTAGCGATTGAGACCTTCAAGGTATGGAGCGAATGACAAGCTATTTGACAGCGAAAAGGAAGGAAACAGAGCACAGCTCTTGAAAGGATAGTCGACGAAGGATACCTGAAGGGAGAAAACCACCAAGCCGGGGGAGGTTAAAGGTCGCAGGACCCAAGCGCAGGGCCTTTTATACCCGTATCACTTCATGTGGCCACCAATGGGCGCTCCATACCAATTCTTCGTGCATGGTTACGGGAGACAGCATGGCAGGTGGGCGGCAGGTGGACGAATCAGCACAAAGGTCCGCACCGTGGGCGACGCATGATGCTGGCGGTACAGAGACTTTCTTCCAGTGCTCAATCAGGGAGAAGCATAGCCGTATCGGTTCTTTAGATCATCCTCTTGGCGTAGGAAACCTACCATTGTGTCGGACCGAATAGGAAATCGCGCGTCGCTCAGCAGGCGGCGGTGCAACGGCGATGGATCTTCTCGATAGATCTTTCATGATCGTTTATCGTGGTACAGGCAGGCACTGGCGCGGTGAAGTCCATCCCCGCTATATCCGGTCGTCGACGACGAGGATGGTGGAGGTGCGGTCCCATGCACGGGGGGCACGAACCGAGGCCGGGTGACGAAGGCCGGTAAGCTGCCTGTAAGAGGGCCGCTACAAAGGCCGCAGCGGATGCCCTTTCAGCTGGTGCGTGGCACCACGTGGAGGCGATGATCTGCCAGGGGTTAGGGTTTGGCGGCACGCCGTTCTCCCTTATGGAGGATACTGAATAGCATTAAAATTACCACAAAATTACCTCCTGATGATCCATATGGAATACTATCTAAGTATTCAATTTGCCTGTGACAGATCCCACAAGTGCCGCATGCATGCCGCACGGAGCGAACTCGTCCAGCATTAACCCGGCGGCAACCTTCACTCTCGCCAGCTTCGCCTATCAGGCGCAAGTCACATCATCGCAAGGTAGTCTACGGGCACTTACAGTGTACACTAACGGCTCAGGAGCTCTACTTACATGTTTTCATACCGGGAAAACAATGGTAAGAGTGCGGTACGCTCTGCTCGGAACCCCGCACACGTGGGGGCCATGCACCAACTCAAACGACACCCGCCGCGGCCTTTGTAGCGGCCCTCTTACAGGCTGCTTACCGGCCCTCGTCACCCGGCCTCCATTCGTGCCCCCCGTGATGGGAGTTGTTGCTCGTCGCTCGCTGACTACAGTGTCACCTGACTTGCTTAGTGGTTGAAGCGTGACCGTACCCTGTACGACGTTAGGCGAAATGGGCAAACTAGCGACCTTGCATCTCTCTCACGCGCACAGCACACATCTGGCGTTTTCCGGAACCCATTAACCCATTGAAATTCATGTACCAATACAGTGATGCAGGGAGCACAACCCTTAGACCCAAACTATGATACAGACAAGGACGGTCGAGCAGAATAAGCCCAGCAGAACGAAAAGGCTCGTAGTGCACTAATCTACTGGATAACGTACACGGCCATACCCTGGATGTTCTCACCCGTCAGAGGAAGACCGACGGCGGCAGCGGGACCTGAGAGATCAACAGTTTGTAGCTTAGTGGCTTGACCAGCAGCCGGCAACGAGAACACCTGGATAGCCGCGGCCCCACCCATAGCAACGTAGAGGTAGCTGAGAACTTGTCAGAGGAAGCTTTCTCAAGCGGTGAAGATGAACTCACTCGTCCCCATCAATCGAGGCAACCTCGAGGTCAATGAGCCCGGCATTCTCCTGCGTGTAGTAATCCGCGATGAACGTCATGTTCAGCGTAGTTGGGTCGACAGCGAGCTCCGAGATACGGCCCGTGTTGAAGTCGGTGACGTAGAAGCTACCGGTAGCGTTGCTCCATGCTGCCCAGCAAACAGCACTCTGGTTGGCAATCGGGTACGCGAGTGTAGCGCGGTTGCTGGAGACGGCGTCGAGGCCCTGAGCGAAGTCGAACACGTCGACGCCGACAGCAGCATCCGTAACGAGCAGGCTACCATTGCTGCCCGGGATGTAGTTCAAGCTGAACGGAAGGGCGGCACCGGGCGGGAGGGTGATGCGGTAGAACTCCTCAGAGAGCGCACCATCTTCGGCGACATCCCATGCGGCGATGAACCCCGTGGCATTTATGGCCGGGTTTCCCTTCACGGCCGCGTAGACTGACTTTTGGTCCTCGCTGAAGATGATCTGACTGGCTGTTCCGGCAGGTCCCGTGGCGGGAGTGGACTGATTCAATCCGAGCCAGCGATGCGTGTTCGTAACGGACTTGAGACCGGTAGTGGCGTTGACCCAGAAGCACTGAATACCGTCGAGGGAGCCGCCGTTGAGCGCGCAGAGCTTGTCTCCGGCATCGCTGAAAGCTACGCTCTGCGGGAACTCGCCGCCGGATGCGACTGGTGCGCCGACTGCCGTGAGCGTCGTAGGCGAGGATGGGTCAATCGAGAAAAGCGATATCGTGTTGGAGCCAGCCTATGATGTACGTCAGTATGCGTAAGTCAGATGTAACCTGATTTCGCACGTTGACAGTGGCGAGCATATTGGTCTTGGAGTTCACGACAATCGCACCCTGCGAGTACAGAGGGTCCGCGCCTGTCACATTGCCGTGCTCGCCGAGGCCACCGGTAGAGACGGCATTAGTGAGAGTCTATGTGTATGGGATGAGCAAGAGCTGAAAGTTCAGAAAGATGGAGCACGCACAAGGGACCCATCTCCGTTGATGTTCGCCGACACTATGTAGTTGCCCGAAGGATCGTTGGTGATAACTACATGAATGTTCATCGACGGAACGTTGCGGCACAGCTGAATCGGGACTTACAGTATGCAGCTCCCTTCGAGCCCGATTGCGCTAAGTTGACCGTTCCATTCAATGACATGGAGGAGTTCGAGGATGAAGTCGTGTCGTCGACGCGCGCGCGGATCGCAGGCGCGGCGTACGCAGAGGCGATGAGAGAAGAAGCAGTGGCAAGAGTCGTAGAGAACTTCATGATCGGCTAGCAAGTGGAGTTTCTTGGGTCGTGGACAAAAAGGATAAGAGAACGAAATAAGAGACCAGCTCTTCAAAAGAAAGGAGAAACCGGGAAAGATGCTCGAGGCGAAGAGGCCGAACACTGGAACCACCGAAGAGGGAGTTGGGGGAGCGAGAAGCACACGCTAGTGCTTATATACCGGCCTTTACCGCATCGTACCCTGGCCATGTTTACGGGATTCAGACGCAGACGTGAATGGAGTGCATAATCCTGCGATGCCCAAATGTCTTGCGTGAGCGCCGGAGGCGAGCGGCGCGTTGGCCGCGTGTGCGAGCCCGATGCAGGTTCCCACACAGACCTCGGTGTGCTTTGACAACAACACCCATCTGGACCCATCTCGATTGCAGTTTATAGGTCTCGATGGCCACGGACACCCGAATCTTACGTGCTTGCACAGCTTGTCTTCGATTGCTGCAGGAGTCCCGTTCGCGGAGAGCATATACCGCAGAGTGAATGAGAGCCCCTGCGCCACCGTTCAAGAGCGTGCTCAGATACAACAAGCCCGATATCGCTGCCTTTGGTCTATGCGAATAGCATAGTACTGTACCTCAAAAGGCTATCACGGCGACCCTTCCGGGTACGTTACAGCATCGCTTCGCGCAACCTGCATCGGAGGAGTTATGTCATCTGCCTCTTCCCTGACTGACACCGCCAAGTCGCACACGACCGGCGGAAGACTCCGTTAGGCCTTTCCGCTGTAGAGCGACTCCGCGGTCACCCGCGTAAGCGCTGGTACGTTTGGAAAGACCATACTACTCTGCAGAGAGATCGACGCGACGGCCATCACATTCTTACCACCGAAGTCCCGGCGTCTTCTTCGCGTCGACCCTGACTTCGTAGTCCTGATATAAGGCCTGAGGTTCTTCCGCCTGCCTGGCTCCTACCATATCCATATCATCATGACAATCGGGCAAGACCGAGCTCTTGTGATGACAGGCTACCCTCACGGGTTTCAGTGTTAGTGTCGAGTTAGACGAGTGGACGCCTTGCTCTCATTGCTGCTGTCGTTACTCCTTCCGTGGTACTCGATTCAATCCCAAACCCAAGACCTATTCTCACGGAGATACGTGGGCTGGCCAGTCCTCACTAACTGAGGTGGCACTGGAGCGTCTCAAGGTTGAAGCACCCCAAGTACTCACCGTCAGTCATCGCGCTCTTGAGGCGCTCGTATTTGCCCGAAATCACACTGAGCCCTTCAATCAATGGTTTCCACACATCTGTCGCGTCGTTCCCTCGGTGTGCCCACGCAGCTGTTCTTGTTCTTGTTCGATGCACACTTCAGATGGGCGGCTGTGCTTCCATCAAGAGCTGCTACGCTGTGCATGGCCATCCATCCTGATCTCCGCTATCCTCCTACTTATCGTTTCTTGAGACTACATGAAGGGATGACCGTTATCTCTCCCACCTAGCTGGGTCCGTGCATGTACGCAAATCCAATGCCATCCCTTGACACATGCCTTTCCGTCTGCCTCCCGTGTGTGTTCGAGAGGTGTTGAACGCCGCGTCAGCCGCACTATTCACCTCGGATGCGCAGTGGACATTCACCGTCGGACGTGTACAGGTCTCGCTGTGCAAGCTATTTCCAGGACAGAGGAAGCGCGCGCTTTCAGCCTGTGCGCCCAAGTCGGTCAGATCACGACGAGGGCAAGACGGACCAGATTGAGGCTGATGTGATGGAGTCGACGGCTTGATGTGACTTCCGCGCATAGACCGCGTGCTAATTCCCTTCGATACAGCACGTCTACACCACCCAGGCAGTGCGATTCATGCTGGATATCTGAGGTAGGATACCAGGGGCCAGTTCGCAGCGGGGAGAGTAGAGCGGTATCTCACCCGGAGCCAGCTCCCAATTCATCGCGACGCGTTGCATCGAACAGCCAACAACAATGATCGGGAGGCTGATGGCACAGCCTCCATGCAACTCAACAGCGCTGATGCGGTGTGCCTCGCGTCGCAAGTCCGAGTATATAGTTAGCATCCGTCGCTTCCTTCACCCCTCGTACCCCGGCCGGTCACCCACTTTCTTCAAGAGCAGCGCTCTTCTTTGCTTTCTTTTTTCTTTCGCAATCAGGCTATTGCTTCACCGCCGGACGGTATCTTTCACGACAACCTGACCACTCCTTCGAACGCATCTTACGAACACCTCTTGTCTGCCATAATGAAGTTCTCTACGACCCTTGCTGCTGTGTCCGCGGTTGCGGCCCCTATGTTCGCGTCCGCTGCCCCGCTGCGCCGCCAGACTCCGACGCTGGCTGCATCTTTCCAATCTGGCGCTGTCTACTGTACGTCATATCCATCTGACACGTACTGCATCACCCTGACAATGCCTGTACAGTTATGACGAATGAGCCGTCTGGAAACAATGTCATCAGCGCAACGATCGGCAACAACGGCCAGCTCGTGCGTAGCTCTCACGCCCTGATTTTCCTATCCAGTTCTGACTTCTTTGGCAGACCATCGCCAGTACTTTCTCAGCATCCGGCAATGGTGCCCACGGTCAGACTGTGGCGCCTGAAGGGCCCGACGCAATGTTCTCGCAGGGCTCGATCGTAGTCAACCCTACGGCGAACTTGCTTGCCACAGCGAACGCCGGTTCCAACACGGTTTCACTCTTCTCCATCAACGGCCAGACGCCTTCCGACCTCACTGCGGTCGGTCCGCCGATGTCTTCGGGTGGCGAGTTCCCGATGAGTGTTGCCTTCTCCTCGGACGGGACCGCGTTGTGCGCTCTCAACGCAGGCGCGATGGATGGTGTCCAGTAAGTTAACTGATCCTGCGCTTCATGACCATAGCTAACAATCGCCCAGATGCTACAACGTCAGCTCCACAACGGGTCTATCCATCATGCCCAACACTCGGCGGTTCCTCGGCATGAACCAGACTACGCCACCCATGGGCCCGCTCGGCACTGCCTCGCAGGTCATCTTCAGTCAGGACGATGCAACCGTGTACGCCGCCGTGAAGGGTAACCCCGACACGAACGTCACTGGCTACATCGCCGCCTGGAACATGACCGACGCTGGTTTGTCCGACCAGTTCACGAGGATCGAGCTGCCTGAGGGCGCCGTCGCACCGTTTTCGCTTACTCCCATTCCCAACGCCAACGCGTTCTTCGCCGCGGACGCGGGTATTGGCGCGGACGTGTTCGACTTCTCTCAGGGCCCCGAGGCGGCTACTGCCAGCCCTAACACGCAATCGTTCGCTATCCCCAATCAGGGTGCGGTCTGTTGGTCTGCCTACTCGCCGGCAACTGGCTCGTACTACGTCTCAGATCGTGAGTATTCGCTTTCATACATCGAAGCGCTTCATGCTAATCACTATACTTTAGTCTTGACCTCGACCGTCACTGAGCTCGCTCTCAACCCGACCAACATGACCCCCTCGATCCTCAACTCGTACCCGATCTCGCCCGGCGTCGCTACCCTCGACCTCGAGGTTGCGTCGCTCGGTGACCAGGACTACCTTTACGTCTTGATGCCCAACGCGACCGCTGTTGAGGTTCTCCGCCTCGACCAGCCCGGCAACGCGACCAGCCTTCAGCAGATGGACATCGCCGGTCCCGCTAGCCAGCTCGGCCTCACTGTGACGGCTAACTACCTTGTCGGTATGGCGTCGTACGTCAAGAACACGCAGTGAGCGGGAATACGGTCTTGTGGGTTCTTGGATCGCTTTGGGAGCTTTCGTAGTGCTTTGTTTTGTTGTATACCCTCCGCATAATCTCCGTATCATACTTAGATAGCAGCAGCTCGGGTCAACCTCATAATGACATGTCTTTTGGTGTCTCATCCTTCATTTGTCGGAACGTTCCCTCGAGAGCGTTGCAGCTCCTGCAAGAGTGAAGACGATGATATGCTCGCGCTCAGTCGCCAATGTTACAGTCCGATGCGTGTATTGGTAGACTGAAGAACGTAGTCGGTCAACGAAGGGAGTCTCGCTCGTCCTCGCAACTATACAACAATGTCTGATCATTTTGTCTCGGCCATAATCTACTTCGTCGTATGGACCTACGTGCCACAGCGTATACGCTGCTCCTCGACTACAGGACGAGGCGGAACCCTCCGTGTTTCGTACGCGAAAGGTATCCAAATCCGTTCGGTGCTCGAAGCCTATATGGTGTCAAACGTTCCTGGAATGAAGTGCGGCGACCCCGGCCTGTGTGCCTGTCCGTGCTAGACCGCTTGAGCGAAAGCAAGAAAGTGTATTCGGCGCCTCGGACACACAGGTTGTCAGGCAGCGCGTGGCAACACGCGTGATACGGTCCTGAAAACCCCCAGCGTTGATAGGACGCAACGGGTGGAACTTACTTACTTACTTACTTGCCGCCGCGGCTCAGTGCATCGGCTTCACCGGAAAGATTGAGGGTGTCGAACTCTTGCTGAGACTACGTCATGAAGCGCAGAGACCTACATATCAGAAAGGGAAACATATTTTCATTTTAAACGCTACACAAGTAATGGGCCAGAACTCAGTTACTGCTATGACAGTACAAAAAGCGCTAGGTGTCAGGGAAATGTCGCCACATCATGAAACTCTAGGCTACGTGGAATGAGCGTGACTAGAGCGATTAAAGAGGCTATTTCGGTCTTGCCCATCACGATTGTACGCGCCGACCGAAGCCTATGGCAAGCTGAACGCTTGCGTAGGAGACGGAGACGCTGTGGTGGTCGTAAACGGTGAACGGACAATTTGCGCGTCGCGTGGTATAAATACCGGCCGCTGATTGCCGGGCCACGCGCCCCGACTTCCTGGCGCCCGCTCGGCTAAGTTCAGCTTGCATCTTGCTTCTCGCCACCACTGTTGTCGTCGACGTGGCTCTTCAGCGCGCTCAACGTCTCAGCGGATTAAACGCACTGCCTCTTAGTCTTCTGCTCTGACAGTCTTCACCCTCGGGTATTGTTTTATCATGCTGGGCTTCTTCAAACGATGGATGTCATCCTCGGCGCCTCCGGAGAACTCTGGTCCGCTTCTAAGAATGTCACTCGGACCCGATACCAACTCGGAGAATCACACAATGGTATACTCAACTTGAACCGCTCCTGTCTCCGTCTCTGAAGGTCTACGGCTTGTATAGATCCAATTCTTCACTTGGGATGCTCATCGTCCTGACATGAGCTGGTGGCAACACTTAGCGGCCGAAGCTCCCCGTTTGGCTGATCTTGGCATAACCCAAATATGGATACCTCCCGCCCATAAAGCCCTTAGTAAAGTACATCAGAGGCTCTCATCTCTCTGGTCATCATTGAATCCTCGTACTCAGAACGGCCAAGGCTATGATGCCTACGATCTGGTATGTTTGAATGAACCTGCGGTCATGGACGCTACAGACTCAAGCGCCCTTCATATGCAGTGGGATCTTGGCGAGTTCAATCAAAAGGACACCATCGCTACGCGTTGGGGTACCAAAGACGAGCTTCTACAGGCTGTGGCGACGGCCAAGCAACATGGCATCGACGTTCTCATAGATGCTGTCTTGAATGTGAATGCCCGAATCCCTCATCGTGCTACTGCGATGGTATTGACATACGCGTATAGCACAAGTTAGGTGCCGATGGAACGGAGGTCTTCAATGCCATACCCTCCAACGATCAAAACCGCACCCAAGATATTGGCCCAGCGCGCGAGATCGAGGTACGCAAATAGCATATCTCAACGGACTGCGACTGACTATGCACTCAGGGATGGACAGTGTTTGGTTTCCCCGGACGAGGCGACAAGGTGATACAGTTACTGAATCACAGATGCCTAGTGTCTGACCATGAGTCGTAGTACAGCACTATGCATTGGACACACCAGCACTTTACCGGTATTACACACGCTCTTCTTCCATTGCTCACACACTCAATACCGTCGATAGGTCTGGACTGGGACAATCGGACCAAAATGCAAGGGGTCTTTCGTATCGTCAGCAAACGTCACAAGGGCTGGTCTAAGAACGTCGATAAGGAGCGCGGCAACTACGACTACCTTCTAGGCGTTGATGTGAGTAGTGTATAGCTCTCACGAACAGCGCGAGCCTCTCACACAGCTCAGATAGACCATCGTCACCCAGAGGTGCGCAAGGACATGTTCGCCTGGGGATCCTGGGTGTTAGACGTAAGCCACCCATATACCTCGATTGCTTAGGCGTGAGAACTTAACGTTCTGTTCATTCAGACAACTGGCGCTGCAGGATTTCGCCTGGATGCGATCAAACATATCGATTCCAAGTTCTTGCTTGAGTGGGTGCGTGGCTCAGAAGACTACACAGAGCTTGCGCGCTGAACGGCGGTGTAGATCCGCCGAGCTCGAAAATCGAGTCCAGATCGCTCCAATAGCTTCGTGGTCGCCGAGTACTGGTCCGCCAAGTAGGGTTTAATGAGGTTCGGCGCAGATTACCACGCTTAAAGTTGTACAGCATCAAGCTCGTTCAAAACTATGTTCGCCTGTTCCAACGCGAGGTGAGGCGCTATCTACTGTACACGGAACACTCGTTGACGCTAAACAGATAGCTTTCTTCGACGTTCCCCTACACCATAACTTCCATGATGCGTCAAGATTAGGTCCCAAATACGACTTACGAGGGATTCTGAAGAATTCCCTAACGTCTCTGTACCCCAATGACGCCGTCACGTTCGTTGATAACCATGAGTGCGTGTGTCGCATGCCTTGATCTCCGAAGCTCATCTACTGACACACTTGTAGCACAGTAAGCCAGAAAGCTGTGGAGACAATCCATTCTTGGACTCACGTGTTGATTGCAGCAAGTCGGCCAATCGTTGCAAAGTTGGGTTGACGCGAACTTCAAGCTGCAAGCTTACGCCTTGATATTACTACGCGGTCAAGGCCACCCGTGCGTACGATATACGACAACACTGACTGTCTCTGATGATGATCGATAGATGCATCTTCTACGGAGACCTCTACCAGAACGAGGAGTGCTATGACGAGGCCACATCGCAAGGCGTTATAATTCTCTCGCGTGCTCGTCGGGAGTATGCTTTTGGGCCGCTCAAGGACCTCTTTATCCATCAGAATTGCATCGGGTTTGTCCGTAGTGGCACGACGAATAAGCCCGGCTGTGTCGTTGTTCTTTCAAACGCTCCGGAGGACACGTATGTACTTCGGAACGCGTCATCGGATACAGTGCTCAACGTATGAGTAGACCTCGAGAGCGTTGCACAATCCGTGCGGAAGTCGGCCAAGTCAGTTCTAATCGTTCCGAGCTCTACGTGCTGCTGATAGTGTTTCATCAGTATTGGGCAGGAAGGCGCTACACAGGCCTGTTCGCTCCTCATGAGAGCATTGAAGTGCCAGCTGGCGGGGGTGACACCGAGTTCTGGTGCCCTCCGGGAAAGCTTCAAGTCTGGGTCCCCGCGCCTTCATCGTCTTCTTGAATCTCTCGCTGAACTCTCACTTGCTTTGTGATCTTGCTTTGCGTGGACGCACCCTATAGTATGAAGACATGACGTAATAACCCAGTGATACCCGTATACCCATGCATTCGCAGCTAATGTTACACTGTTATACATCGTTTGCCATGAAGATCAAGGTCCTATACAGCCACGCCCGTACCCTCGAAGCTCTTCAGTCCCGCACTAAAGCTTCGCACGCCGCTCGGGCCAGCGACAGCGAACTCCTTGAGTTCATGGCTGTGATACGAGCTTATGGCACTCGATCTTTTGTCGTCCTGTATGTCGCCCGTGCTGAACAAGTCGTTGACGTCCAACTCGGTTGGCTGGGTCGCCCAATATCGTGCGACGGCGCCACCGTTGCCGTGCCCGATGGTACTTGTTGCGGCGTTCCCTGCGAGTTGCTGCATCTCGTCCGGCTTCTCTTCACCGTCGAAGAGCACCGACGTCTCCTCCAACGATCTTCCCCTCGTCTCAATTACGTACTTGAGGACAAATATGAGCTCGAAGCACAGCCAACCACAGTAGACCAGATACTGTTCACAATCAGTTCGAGGCGGCAAGTAAAAAAGAGCTCAACGACGCACGTATTTCCATCCCATTGCGTCCAAAGCCAACGGGTTGAGAAATTGATTAAAGAAGAGCGTGAAGGCTATGACAATGTTCTACGAAGACAGTAGTGAGTCTCATCGCAGACGTGTTGAAAAGCCGTCGACAGCGCTTACCATGAAGGCGAAACCTTTCGCGCGGATGCTGTGGACATTGTCAATTTCATAGTACGGGTGGACGGGAGGAGGAGACTCGCCTGAACGGTAATATCTCAAGAGTGTATGATACGAGCATCGGGGCATATGCAAGGTCGTAAAAGAAGTAGAAGAGGAAAATGAATGGAATGGTCGCTGTCGAGTGATGCGATTAGTCACCATCTCGTTCACGACTACGGAGCATAGCGCATCTTTCGCAGCATGCGCTGAGTGGATTGTGTTGAAAAGAGCGGTGGTGAGGGTCCATGCGGAGAAGGTGATGAGCATGCCGGCGTTCGACGCGATGAATATTGTGCGACGGCCCAGTTTGTCGACGAGGGCCGCGCCAGTGAGAGCTGAGATGAGGTTGAAGACCTTGACAGGAGCGTTAGTTGGCTATATAGCATAGTATCTTGCTCGCACTGACTTGCAAGCCACCGTTGATTGCCGCTTTAGTGTTCGTGTCCACGATGCCGACACCCTCGAGCACGAGGTTGATGTAGTAGGACACCAAACCATTACCGCTATCACGTTGACGGTCAGAACAGATATCCTCTTAACAGTACTCAGACGATGGTCTCTCACCTCCATTGCGAGAAGAGTGCTAGAGCAATTATGATGCGCATTCGTTTGCGGTTGCCGGGTGTGCTGAATAGAGTGAGGTATGATGAACCCTTGCTGAGCTCCTTCTCCATTTTCAACGCGTGTCGGATCTGCGCCAGTTCGAAGACGATCAAAGGGTCCCGCTCGTCATGTCCGTTGGCGTGAAAGCGGGCAAGTACGCGAGCAGCCGCGCCGTCCTTCACGTGCATCGTGAGTTTACTTCGTTGGTAATCTGAACAGAGATAGGCGCACCCGACCGGTGGAGATGAGCCAACGTGGGCTTTCGGGAACAAACCATATGAGGATCATCTGTAGGATGGGACCGGCGGCTTGAAGTATCGTGGGGATGCGCCAAGACCAGACCGAGTTCTCCTCTCGTGCGTACGTGGCGTAGCAGACCCATGCCGCTATCAAAAGTGAGATATACTACGACTGCAACATCAATGCCACTTCGCACCTATGACGCTGCCGAGGTACCAGATCGAGTTGTACAAACTAGACAACTTGCCGCGCTGCATATACAGCTTTGTTAGCAACGAGCGACGAAGGCTTGCTAATGGTGAACGAACCTGAGTGGGGTAAGCCAGCTCGAGTACAAGAAGTGGAGCAGCGTTGAGTTCGATCTGAAGCCCAAAGCCGACTAGGATGCTTCTCAGTGGAGCTTCAATAAATGTAGATTGTGCAACATACTCAGACATCGAGCGCCAACAAACTGGGCAACATCAGCTGCGGTCGCCTGCGTCGCTACGCCGCCGAGCATGATAGTCGCGCCAATGAAAAGGGTGATTCGTCGACCAAGCCAATCAGAGAGGTACGGCGCCATAGGCAGACTCTGGGCATCTAGATGAGGAAGACAGCGAATGTTGAGTTCAGGCTACTACGTACGATGATGCCTCCAATCATCTGCGCCGCACTGATGAGACCTATACAGTATCAGCACAAGTAAGGAGAAGGCAAATGACGCAATGCATACCTAGCGAAGAGGTCTTGGGGTCACCAAAGCTCGTTTGCCAACCGGGAAGGATTTGTAGGCCTAATACAGACGGTCAATATAGGCATAGCATGATGTTTCGGGAGGGGCGTACCGTTGACCAGAGAAGAATCATACCCGTTGACAGTGGAAGAGAGCAGAGGGATGACCAATAGGAGGTTCAAAGCAAGAATCCCTGTGAAGGTTTGTGCTGAGGGATTGTCGGAGATTCTCATGTTTGCGTTCACGAACCTTTGTTGGTCCACCAATAACCACGGTGGATGAAGTCCACAATCGTCCACTCGGGAGCGGTGGTTGGAGCCATAGCGCGATGCGCTCAGCAGCGCAGGAGGTGTCGTGTCGAGGGCAGGGATGTCGGAAGAGCGCCCAGTCAAGTGCATGGGGAGTCTTATAAGACGTCCCCATGACCCACCGTACGCTGTTCAGGTCGTTTGCTGAGATCGTCGCGTGCCGAGCTGTTCCTTACAGTAAACGCTCGACTGCGGGGTAATCAACCATCTAGAAGCCATTTGCCCCGCACAGTCTGGCGGGGAAATACCCCGCGACGCGCGCCGGCGAAACTTCGTGAAGACGGAGCCGCCACCATGATCACACGATGAGCGCGAGAGCTCATTGAGGGTACCGATGTATACCAGCTCATTCAGCGCTGGAAGCTGCTTAAACCTCGAAAGTTCAAGAGGCAATAGACACCGTTAAGCCACTGCAATCGATACCGGAACGAGCAAAACTCTTCCCGCCGCACTCATTCACTGGAGCAGGTTTTGCTGATGCCCATATTGAAAAGCCTCTAGAACTACTGGGCATAAAATTCGATCAAAAAACGCATTATTCGACCACTGATGCATCGCGACCATCTCCAGATATATGGCACGGCGGTCCGGTAGCTTCCAGCGACACCATGGGCCGTTGGCAATATACAATATCAGCCCAGACTCGCATTCGGGAATCGCGGTGCCGCCCATGCATTAAGTGAACTGCAGCCCGAGCATTCGACGAGCCGAGTTTAAAGAGTAGATGGCCGGAGATGTGAATCTAAGGCCCGGAGGCACAAGGTCGGTGGCAACATGGGGGTTCGCGATGAGTAGTGCCGGTTCGACTTCGCACTGGGTTCGCGTCGGGCGTGAGAGGTATGACGTGTAGGCTATATCGCCTGCTCGGCTCATTGCGTACTCAGTGCGTGTACTGCGAATACCAACTCTCAAGACCGTCAACCACGAATACGGGAATTTGCTGTGTCGAAGAACTGAAGTGGCTTTGGTGACTCAGGCCAGTCATCCAGTACGGAGGACATTTCAGGGGCAGCCCTGCGACGGGCCGACGGGAGCCTCGGCTTGAGCCGACTGCGCATGGCTGTGAGCGCCTGTTCCTTGCGACAAGTTGCGAGCCTCGTTTACTGTTCGGGCCTGTTCGGGCGAGTCAAAAGTACGTACATCGCGCGTTCAATTGGACGCGCGGCCACGATTCGTCGGATACAGCATGACTGTAGACGTGTACCACTTGTGTACAGGCAGTGTTCATGGCGCACCGCTCTATGGCTTGAGTGTACAGGCTGAACCCACGCTGAGGGAGCTACCGTCACTTTGATGGGATAAGCGGGTGACGGGGATGATCCCGTGCCGAGGTTCGCGCCACCCTTAAGCTGAGAGACTGAGACGCCCGGCTTCTCCTGAACGCCCAGCACCTCCTCCCCACCTTAATGGTGCTCAACCTTGCGACTTACCGCTCGTCCGCTGCGATCGCATCCGTTCTTGTATCTCTCACGAATAATGTGCACAATGGCGCCGCAGTACTCTCGAAACGAGAAGACGAGCCGACCCATGTGAGCATCCCTGTCAACCACTGAGTTTCGTTGTGCTAATACTCATCATTTCTAGGGACAACTTGTCGCTGGAGGCGTACTCATACCCGTCCTTGTCTTGCTGTCGGGTCTGTTTGCCGGTCTAACACTCGGTGTACGTTGAACCACTCATCATGCACCGTCCTTTTACTGATAAGGCTGGTAGTATATGAGTCTGGATGAAACACAGTTGCGTGTCCTCAGTATCTCTGGCACAGAGTAAGTACAGCTCCCTTCCACCCATCGCCCCAGTCGCCTCGCATCGTCAGTTCAGAGCGCTTAATGACGTCGTATCCTTTAGGCGCCAGAAGGCCTACGCCGAGAAGATCACGCCCATCCGCAAGAACGGTCACCTGCTCTTGCTCACGCTTATCCTTGCCGTGAGTTCTGTCAATATCTTCGTAGTCGTATGCTTGTTGAACTGACATACCGACGTTCAGAACATGATTACGAACGAGACGTTGCCCGTTATCGCGGACCCTGTTCTTGGCGGTGGCGCCCAGAGTGTCGTCGTCTCGACGGTCCTCATCGTAATGTGCGTAGAACCTTCGGTAGTCCCCTCCGTAGACTCGTTCCCTTCGCATGTGACATATGCATTGCCAATTGGTGTGAGAGCGAGAGAACGAACGGCAGACGAAGAGAAAGTAAGCGCCGCAAGCGCCCAGGTTCTTCTAAGAAAGCCCGAAAGCTCGTGTCCTGTATACCTTTGCCTTGCATGTCCCAAAGGCTCCGTGTTGTGAACTCGTTCCCGTGTGTCCTGCACGAGGCCTGCACTCGTGAACGTTTCTAGTTCGTTATGCTGATACTGCGTCCAGCTTTGCAGAAATTATTCCGCAGTCTATTTGCACCAGGCATGGGCTGTACATCGGCGCAAAGTGTGCACCGCTTATGTGGGTGTTGTTGTACAGTTTCGTGAGGCTTCTCCCACTGTGTCCGCAATTCAAGATGCTAAACGTTCATCCCGCAGGGCATCGTCGCTTGGCCCGTAGCCAAGTTGCTGGAGCTTGTACTTGGCTCTCATCATGGAATCATCTACCGCCGCACGGAACTCAAGGAGCTCGTCGCGCTTCACGCTTCTGAGATGGCGCAGGGTGGTGATTTGAAACAGGACACAGTCAACATCATCGGTGCGACGCTCGACCTTCAAGAGAAGTCAGCTGCCCAGGCCATGACCCCTATCAAGGACGTCTTCATGATCCATATTGACGATAAACTCGACTACGACACGCTGCGCCACATCTGCATCAAAGGCCATTCACGCATTCCGGTCTACGAGAACGTGTACCTTCCCGGACGCGGTGGCCCGGACGGGAAGCCGCTCGAGGCCAAGAAGATCATTGGCATACTGCTCGTCAAGCAATGCGTTTTACTCGACCCCAAGGACGCGGTGCCAGTTCGCCATCTCCCGCTGAACCGTGTGCCGGCCGTTGCCCAGAACGAGCCGCTTCTCGGCATCCTCGACCGCTTCCAGGAAGGCCGCTCTCACATGGCTATCGTCTCGCGTCTCACGATCAACAAGGCTGCGAGCGTGCAGGAAGTCGTCAAGAAGAACCTCACGCAACGCATCAAGGACCGCGTCGGTATCGATACGGATAGTTCAAGCAGCGGCAGCGAGAGCGAAAGCGATGGCGAGTCGGGCGAAGAGAAGAAGAGCAAGAAGCGCTTCCGTTTCTCTCGCAAGAAGGCTAAGGACGCGGAGGCTGGATCATCTGACCACACGGCTACCGTCGTCGACACGAACGAGAAGAACGAGAAAGATGCCGTCGTCTCGAAGCCGTCCTTACTCGCCTCTGCCGCCTTGAATAACCGCGAGCAAAGCATGCCATCAGATGCTGCTCTTCCTAAGGACGCCCTCGACGCTTATCTGGAAGGTTTCGACCCCTCCGTTGCGCCTCTCGGTATCATCACGCTTGAAGATGTCCTTGAAGAGCTCATCGGTGAAGAGATCTACGACGAGTTCGACCCCGATGGTGCCAGCGCTGGTCAGGCCCGGGTCGCGTATGACGGCCGTCACCCTGCCTCAAGTTCCGCGCCCGACATCGCGTCCCCTCAGCCCACACCTGGACCCATTGTGACCACGCCGGCGCCTGGATTTAAGAAGACGCTGGCAGCTCCGCTCGGCCTTCTCTCTCGCCGCTCCCGCAGTGTTCCGCCCTCGCCTCGCCAGCCGGCCAAGCCGGAGCTACCACCTGTTGACGAGAAGGAACAGGCTACTGAACCGGTTGCTGAGAAGGACACCAAGGAGAAGGAGAAGGCTCCGATGACAAGCTCGCCTGAGGCTCTCCCGACTCGCCCTACCCTAGAGGCGCGCATCCGCGCACGCGCAGCGGCATCCGGCGGCGTGCCGACCCTGGCCAAGCACCGCTTCAAATCCAGCGGAGGCCCGGGTGGCGTCGTCGCAGAGCAGGTCCGCTCACGCGGACCTTCCGGTAACAGCACTCCCGTCGCATCTGCTGCTTCGCCTGCCATCGAAATATCCGAACCCCAGGCAGACACGCTGCAGGTCCCGGGCGAAGGCTTGGCCCCCAATGTCGGCAGGAAGACCCACACGCCCATAGCAGAGCTGTCGGAGAACGAGGCGGCAAGTTTCGAGGGCGAGCGTAGTTGAGAGAGTCAGTGGCTGCAACTGCTTCTCTAGGGGAGCCGACATAGCGCTATGAACGAACGAGCGAATGAACGTCATGACTTTGTGCTATGATTTGATATCTCGCGTTCGTGTTAGATCTTGTTGCTACTATACATACATACAACATGAACTGGTATGGAATGGTGGGAGATAATAGCTCACGAACGAACGTGTGTCTGGTAACATTCTGATCAAACCGAACCAAGACGTGCACCGATTAGCGGGCAGGACTACGTATACAAGCATAGGTAAAGCGAGTGATACCGTGTGCCTTGCACCCACCGGCCCTTCAGTTCTCGTATCGTGGCGGGGGTTCCTCTTGAGGGCCATGCAACATGGTGTACAGACGGCGGACTAGATTCGGTAATTCCCCAGGGTCCACGGGTTCAGACGTTGTTTCCTGTTCAGTGGTTCGAGAGGATCCGGGCGCCGTAGTTGCCTCCAGTTGAGTGGCTGGAGACGATGGGTCATGTTGGTGGGATGAGTAAGTCGGTTCCCCTTTGACAGGTGGCGGTGTGAATGGTGTTTGAAGCATGAATGGCTCTGCGGTTGTTGAATCGGGCCTCGCGGCAGGCGCAACGGAGTCATCTACAACCATGCCCTCCTCAATGGCGCGAGCGCGGCGACGACGCCATGAGAGTAAAGTGGCAAAGAGGATGACAGCGGCCGCAACCAGGCCCCCTATCACGCCACCAGCAATCGCACCGGCATTTAAGGACCTTTTGGAGTTTGGATTGGCAGATTCTGACGGCGTGGGGACTTCTCCAGACCCTCCTGTCGATGTTGAAGTATTCGAGGGTTTTGTGATACTGAACGCGGAATTCATGACATCGACGGCCGCGAGGTTTCCACCGGCGCTGAATGATCTAATCGGGCATTGAGTACTTCCATTTATGTTATACAGATCTTGAAACCCACGAAACAGGCGGGCCAGACCAGGACGTGGTGTAGAAGCTGGTGCCTGATGCTAAGGCATTGTTTATAACGGCGTTGAACTGGCAGACAATGTTTAGCATACGAGTGTGTCGTTCGGTGTAGCACCACGCGAGGCTCACCTGCACCGTTAAATATGCATCAATATATGTCGCGAGGCCAGTCCCAGGATTTCGCATGCGGGCTTCTGTAAGACCACGCAGGAACACGCCCTTGGTATCTGCGTCCGAGTTGTCCCGGTCCGTGTCCTCTGTGGCCAGGGATCATGAATGCGGTTAGCATTGAGCGAGTCAGATAACATACCTGCCACAACACCATTTGGCAGAGTCCACGTCTTGAGTGTTGTAGTACTGGCAACCGCAGTCTGCAACCTATCAACCGTGCTACTATAAGCGCAGATTCGTCCAGCTTTTGAAGCGCGACGTGCAAGGAACTCAGGGTAGTGCTCTTGGTCACATTAGCCCACACCGATAGGCCTGTGGACGGATGAGACAGGGTTGAGAGTCGATGATGACCAGCCTGACCTTCGACGAAGAAGGCTTGGTTAAAGGTGTTCATGGTGACATTGTCTGTTTGGCAGGAAGCCATAACAAATGAATCACGGACATATGTACCATTCCAGAGATGGTTCACGATGAAGTTCAGAGAGAGCTCAGCCGCATCAGAGTAAAGTTGCTGGTTAGTTTGTTCGTAGAGATATGCTGATAACCTGTCTGACATGTCAACATTAGCCAAGCAGTCATAGACAGACTAACGCCATGAAAGGGCCGATGGTCTCAGCATTGACGATGGTATCGTTGAGTTGATCCTGTTTCTACGAAATGTGAGATAACGCGTAAGGGATCAAAGCAAGAGATGGCAGTACAAAGAATACACCGCCGGCGATTGTCGCTGGGAGATCTTGAGCATGGACTACCATCTTTGTCATGAGGCTCACCATTGGTACATCCTGGAGGAGGGGTGAAGGAGACATTGCGTCCCGAACCAGTCCCGCTGGCTGCTGCGCTGGAAGTGACAAAGGCGTTGTTGTATGTGAGGTTGTGCGCCATCATGGCAAGATCGAGGTAAAATTGCTGGCGATAGGTTCGATATGCGTAGAAAAAGGCAAGTCCCCAGTATGCGGGGGCATTATTCAACGGTGGAACACCGTACAAACCGTACTGCTGATAGTAACCTTGCATGCCGTTAGATACTGTGTCGCTCCACGATGAGTTGCCGCTATAATAATCTTGAAGGGAAAGGACGGCATAAATGCTAGTGAAATACCGGATGCTCGGTAGACCTGAATGATGCAAACGTTCATTGATCGTCCATCAGACTGGCGAATTTGACGCACCAGCACTTGCACCAGCAGCAACGTTGACCTCAGCAAGGAAGGTCGCAGCAGCGCTGTTGGCGAGAATCTCACGCGAATCGCGCGTAGAGTTGGAGGTTGTGTTCTGAATGACATTCAACACGAAGTAAATAGTATGTCCTGCGAAGCCCGCACCACCCAATCCGGAGGAATTGCCAGATCTTGAGGGGCTGCTGGGCTTATGAGCCATATAAAAGCAAGCGCGGCAACGCCAACACTCCAGGACAACATAGTACTGCAGAACTCGCGGTAGCTCGCTGCGGGGGCAAAATAGGGGTCGAGGGACCGCGCGCTTCGTGGTCCCATATAAGCCCACTAGTACATCCCGCATGTCAAGTTCGTTGTCAGAACTACTGTACCCGGTCTGACAGAGGCGCGGTGGACAACAGATGGTGGGTGACATTCCAATACGATGCCAACCCGGCGTGGAGCACGCGCAGCTACTAGGGCGCCAACGCTTCATGGACGATGCCACTGCTGAGTCTTGTCGTCTACGTTGCCCGGAAATCATAAGTCCCAGGTTGCAATACACCAATGCGTCGAGCTGGTTGTACAGGAGTGAGTGTTGAAGTACTGCCACGCGACAGGTCTAGTCGATGTCTTGAGGTAAGCCGTCGACCGCCGCGCC